GCTTCCCCCCTCGGAGGGGGGGTTCATCCTGCACCAGCAGCAGACCTGCCTCTGGGGATGTCTACTGAGCGCGCATCACTAAAAAATTAATTTTTAATTAATAAAATAAAATTATTACACTTTATACATAATATATAATATATTTTATAGTATTATATATATTATAAATAAAAATGAATATTTCAGTGCTAGGCAGCGTATGAGAAAGAGCAAACAGCCCCAGCAAGATCACCAAAATGCAGCTCAAGAAGAGCAATTTTGAGGCAGATTTTTACAGAACACTAGCGTGTTTTCACGCAGTCAGACGCCCCCAGACAGCCCGTGCTGATTTTGGAGGGGTGCACGCATGCAGCCGAGCCGGAGGGGACCGGGGTGCAGGGCTCCCTCTGCTTAGAGCCCCCCCGGGGCATGGCCAAGCGGCCACCTCGCAGCGTCCCCACACGCACACCCTCGCTTGCCAAACCCAGCCGCTTTGGGGATTTACAGACATCCATTTCGCTTGTCCGCCGCGGTCCATGGGCCAACCCTTGTTGCAAAGGGGCATTTCGCTTCCCAAAGCGCAGCGATGCAGCAGCCCCCAGCCCCAAAGAGCCTCCGAGCCAGGGACCCCGGCCCCACCGCAGGGCGCTGCGCGGCGGCCGGAGTGCCAGAGCCCGGCGCGCTTGGGTTTAGGAGTTCCCGGATTTTCTCTTCCAGGCACTACCCACCAAAGTCATTACGCAGAGCTCTGAAGTTTTCTTCAAAGACTCCCCAATATCCTGCAAAAACTGAAATCACAGGAACCTCTTTGCTGTTTGGCTTCCTTCGAAGTAATTACACGAGAGCTAATCAGACATTATTTAAAATGCAGCAGTTAAATAGCTTGCCTAGGAAAACCAGCCCTGCAAAGGAACTGCTCTGATATACGACTTTTCTTGGAAGTTTCTGAGCTGAGGGACCCCAATGGCCATGCTGTTATTCACTTTTTATCGCCTGTCACGCCACTCGCCATCCCCGTGACAGGATACCTTTATTGTTCCAGGGCATAATCTCTGCCCAGGGAGCAGTGTCACACAACCATAGTCATTATAAAATATCCGTTTCCTAAACGCCTGACCTGAAGCCTGCCAAGGTCCCACTGGCTTCTGGAAGCTTCCGAGCAAAGCCCCAGGCTGGCTGCGGGGAGTCACCACCGACCTGGTTCTGGGGAGCGGCTCTAACTGCTCTGCCAAGCAAAGCAATGAGATTAAAGAAGAATACAGCCCGATGGTGCCTAAACACCACGCAACTTGCCTTCCCATGACCCAAAATAACAACTCGGGTGGAGGAACCCAGTGTGGTGATTTCGTACGGTCGCTCGGAGGAGACAGGAAGCCTGGCTGCAGGTCCTGCTCACGTTAGACAGACCCAGGTTAGCGGGCTGTACGTGCAGTGCTAAGCCATCTGCTCGGCTTAGAGGCTTCTGAGGTTCTGAGGCAGGCTCTGCCAGACCCGTGCTCTCCAGCAGCTGCTCACTCAGCCAGGCAGAAGTTCAAGTGTATCGTGGCTAATTGCGCAGAGCTTTGCGAGGAAATCGGCCGCGGGTACCCTGGCATCTGCCGTGCTCGGTCCTGAGCTACATCTGCGCCCGTGTGAAGAGCCTGCGGCCGGGGGGTAGCTCCGGCGTTTGCTCCTCTCCCACGCTGGATGTGCTCCGGGGCTGAGGTCCACGCTGGTCCCAGGAGCCCCATCCTGGCTCGGCTCACGGAGCTCACGCCAGCACCGCGCTGGATACGGAGGGGCCCCTGAGGCCAACAGAACTGCTTTCCTTCGGATATGTTGATGCAAACTCTGGTCTTCTGTGCCTCTCCGTTTTTCAGGGGTGGACTTTTTCTTCACTTTTTTTCTCTCCTATTAACCTCTAGAGCTAACAAAGCGGTTGCCCACCTCAGGAACCGACGATGAGGGGCCCCCGACCCCAAAACGCCGTGTGCCAACTGGATGGGAGGAGCACCCGGCTACCCCGGCCACAACGGGCTCCCCGGACGGGACGGGAAGGACGGAAAAGATGGACTAAAGGGGGAGAAAGGAGAGCAAGGTTGGTGAGAAGCAGGGGGTAACATCGGTGCTGGAGCCTGTGGGCAGCCCCAGCCCACAGCCCCAGCCTTGGCAGGTCTCACGTCCGGGGGGCCCGTGCCTGACCTTTGTCCAGATGGCTTTTGAATATCTCCAGGGATGGAGATCCCACAATCCAAGCCAAAGAGTTTGGCCTGGTGGTTATTTTCTCCAATTAATGATGTTTCTTCGAACATGCTGCTCTTGGCAGCTCCGTACACAGCTTGGTGGGTGAGAGGGCTTTCTGCTCGCTGTCTCAGCTCATGGGGGGTGCTGGGGTCATCCAGCCTTTCCGCAGGGATGCTCCACGCTGCCGGGCAGGTCCTCGTGCCACAGCCCCCTCGGCTTCCCAGGCTGGTGGGTGGCAGCTCCCAGCACAGTGCAAACAACCCCTCGTTCCCTTCTCTCTCCCTCAGGTGTGCAAGGCCCCAAAGGTGATCACGGTGAAATGGGACTCCCAGGGCAGCAGGGGTTGACAGGAATTCCCGGATACCCAGGGCAGAAGGGGGAGAAGGGCGAGGGCGCCTTCGTCTACCGCTCCGCCTTCAGTGTGGGGCTGACGGAGCGAGCCCCCCACCCCAACGTGCCCATCCGCTTCAGCAAGATCTTCTACAATGAGCAGAACCACTACGACGCCAGCACCGGCAAGTTCTTCTGCAGCATTCCCGGCACGTACTACTTCGCCTACCACCTGACGGTCTACCTGACAGACGTCAAGGTCAGCCTCTACAAGAAGGACAAGGCGGTCATCTTCACCTACGACCAGTTCCAGAAGAACAACGTTGACCAAGCGAGCGGCTCTGTCTTGCTGCATCTCAGTTCTGGGGATGAGGTCTGGCTTCAGGTGTACGGGGAGGGGGACAACAACGGCGTCTATGCCGACAACATCAACGATTCTACTTTCATGGGCTTCCTCCTGTACCCAGACATGGATGGCCATTAAAGCAGGGGGTGCTACATAGGAGAGGGTGAGGTGGCTTAATCCCAGAAGGCGTTCTGGGGCACTGGAGCTATAGCTATACCATATTTACCAGAAAAGAGCCTTTTGCAGGGGCAACGATTGCCAAGGGTGGACCCCATTTCCTGCAAAATCCGTGAGGTTACGCACGAGTGACTTCCACAGGACCAAGAGTTCGTTCCCACCTCTGCTCTTGGTCTCCCGGTGGAAACCTGGGCCCAAAGTCAAACACCCCCCCTGCCACATCATGGAAGAGTAACTCTCAAGATGGGCTAACCTTTTCTTAAATTTAAAACTGAGAAGAGAAAAATTGGTTACATTTAAATATCGCATTCCAAATTCCCCATTCCTAACCACCTAAATTAATTTAAAACATGAGTGCGTGTTTTAGCCAGCATTTCAAAATTTGAGCAGAAGAGGGAGAACGCTTCACAAGAGCCATCTCTGCTCTTGTTTCAGCAGGTACTGATAGCTCCCTTTCTTCCATTGTAACTCCCTCTCTTATTAGGGCCTTCGGCTTCCACCCATGCTTTGTCGTCTCCCTTCTTCAGCCCAGGTCTTTGAATATATTCAGATTATTACCTTTCATTTATTTTAATCCTTTATTTTTTTTTTTATGATTATCCCCTATCATTATCTCCAATGTAGACAGCAGGCTTATTTAGGGCAGGGATCTTCTCTTCCAATTTATCCGAGAAGCCTTTTGAAGGCCAGCGAGGCTACACAATGGAAGTGTCCCATTGACTGTGTGGCTTTGGGGGTCCTGAGGTGGTCACAGATGTATTGGCAGCGCAGTTGAGACGCTTGGAAATGCCAGCATCTCCCCTGCAAACTCCGTGCCTGACCAGGGAACAGAAGGTCCTTCCAGGCTCCCGGCCAGAGGGGACCTCGGGGTGGAGGTGTCCCTTCCCAATCACTCGCCTGGCGCTGGGAGCGATGGCACGAGTGCTTGTTCAGCCCGGAGGCCGCCAGCACGGGGCACGTGAGCAGCACCTTGCAGTTTCCACCCGCAAGCTGGCAGGAGCCTGTCCTGTTTCCCCTCCCAACAGCTCCCAAACACAGTCAGGAGTTTAGAGCTGGCAACCATGGCTTTATTTTTCCATACCATAAGCGTGCCAACAGCACTGGCTGGCACGCCAGCTGGGCAGAGCTCCAGGCGGTGCAACCTCCCCACACTGAGTGGGCTCCTGGGACGAACGCCCCCAGGACCTGCCCCAGCTCTCGGCAACGTGAGCTCGATGGGGGAAGACTGCTAGGCTGGGGTTAGTAGCAATCTCATCAAGCTGCTCTCCGAGGAGCTTGCTTGACTTTTAGCGAAAAGAGGATTTGATGGCTTCTCAGATACGTTCAAAGATGACTCCCATTAAGCTTCAGAACACAGATCAGAGCTATTGCATTATCACAAGCACAGAAGCGTAGTAAGAGCTTCAACTGAAACGACTTCCGACAGCAGCATTTTCTGCACTCCAGTGAACCACCACATCACAGATAATAACGACAATAAAAAACTCTCTCAATGAGAACGCCTCCACATTTTTGTACGGGTCGTTGGGAAGGGTTTGAGGAAAGGGACATTCTCCTAGCCCCACCAGGCAGCCCAGGAAAATACATTTTTGTTTTTCCAGCAAGGTGCAGGCGCCATGGGCTGGCGCACACAGGGCCACCCACCTTTTGCCTTCCCAAGAAACTCCCCACCCTCCAGCTTTCAGCATCTCACCACCTCACTGTGTCACCTCCTGTCTGGGTGGGAAGAGCTCTGGTTTCCAGACGGTTTCCCCAGACCACTCTCCCTGACCCCCCCCACCCAGCCAGCCAGAGGGGCTCCGCTGGTCCGGGACGCTGCGAGCACGCTAGATTTAGCAAGGGCTAAACTGATGCTCAGTCTGGTCATGCTGAATTCAGAGAGCTGGGAAAAACCCTGCTCCTGTTGTGTGAATTCATGGGAAGGGAACAGGGAAAAGAAAAAAAAAAAAACCAAAACACAAACTCAAAAAACTGATTGATAAACAAAAGGAGATTTTAAAATGCAGCAGTTGCTGGATCAAATGGCATAAGAGGCTTACACTGAAAGGAGCAAGTCAGAGCTTTTGCAGTATTTTTTTCAAATATTTCCAGATTGATTTTCTGAAGGCACGGAAAACTGAAACAACCAAAGTGCCAAGAGACATTTGGGATAAACACTAGGAGGAAATACTGATTTAAAGACCAGCTCCCAAGAGGCAGCCAGAACAAATTATCCCTTCCTTGCTGCCACCAGCAGGAGCACATATGCTTAAAGGTTTGTCCCGTGCTCCGGGACGCAGAGGCTCAGACGTGGCTTTTCACACTGCCACGTACACCTGATGCTGTGCGCTTCAGGCCAGGGCAGAGCCCAGGATCTCTTACCAGCCCCTACATCGGGCCCATCACCAGCGTGACCCATATTCATACCCCTCCCACCCAGGCCAGCAGCATCTCCCACCACAAGCCACCAAGGCTGTAGCACAAGAACCATATTGTGTGTTAGAAACTTGGGAATCGGGGCCACGCTGGCCCTCACATGAGATTCTTGTTGAACCTCGCGTGGCTGCTTGTCCTCCACCCCACCCCACCGGGGATCCCCACACGTGCAGCCAGACCTGGCGGCACAGACCCAGCCTGAAGTCCTTGCTCCAAAGCCTGGCTCTGGTTTTGGTGCTGGTTCTTCCCCTGTCCCAGCTGCCAGGGTGGGGGTGCTCGGGGCTGTGCATCCAGAAGCAGTCACAGAAGCGTCACCTGAGCTTGCAAGCCTCCTCTCAGCTCCTCTCCACCCAAAGCACAGCAGGGACGTCTGTCTTCTACAGGACATTTTCAAACACGTTTTAAAGGGTTAAACCTCAGGGTTTGAATCCTAGGTTAAAATCCTGATCAAGCAGAGATTTCCTGCTTGCCAACAGCACACCCTTTCTGTGCTGTGTGCTTCATCATGAAGGAAACCCCAGTAAGCACAAAGCTCTTGAGAAGTTTTACAGAAAAGCATTAAGGATTTCTGTGTAGCGGCTTTTCCCCCTTGTCAGAGTCATAAACACTGAAATGCACCTTCACCAGGATACGCACCCTCAGGGATGCCTTTCTCCCAGCACTTGTGACAAGGATGCTCCACGCAGGGTACCTGCATTGCCCTGTCCTTGTCCCCACCAGGCATCTCAAAAGCCAGCAGACAACAGACCAGCCTCCCAGTTAGCAGGCCATGAGCGAGGCAAGACCCAGCTGCATGGAAATAGGGTCTAAAGCCCCCCCCTTTAGGGATCTGGGCAGTTTTTGAAGTCTTTCACCTCAAATCTGTGCAAGATTCTTGCTCTACAGAGCTCAGCTGGAGACACAGACACACTTACCTCCCTAGCAGGCACCAAATTCCAGCTTAAGCCACCAGCCACCCAAAAAGCTGCTTTGCACCCCCAGGAGGAGCCATCAGCCCCCTCACAGCTCTCCCCCACAGCAAACACTCCCAACAGAGGCTCACCCATCAGCAAAGCCAGCGGGCAGGGCAGGCAAAGAGCAACCCCTTCGCAGAAAAGGCACCGCTGCAGCCGGGCTCGAGCCCCAAAGCTGCCCTCAGCACCTCTGCTCTTGGCTCCTGCGAGCCCCCAGGGAGTCCCCACAGCCCAGGGACCACCCGAACCCCTGCACGTGGCATGGATATCAAACCTCCACCACCTCCCTGGCTCTGCCACGCCGGGGGAGCCTGACCACGGAGCCCAAGGGCAGGGAGCTGCAGGGCACCATGCTGTTAGGGGAGAGCAGCAAAAGGGCTTGGGAGGGTGAGGAGGTCCTGGGGAACGAGCTCGGGGCAGTTCCTCACGAACCCAGCCTTTTGCCATTACCCAGTTGCTGTGGTTTTACTCTCCCTCCCTGCTTCACGAGCCTGGGGGGTGGGAAAACCTGGCCAAAACAGGCACGTACCCAAGGCATGGGCTGGCTCCGGGGGATCGCACCGTGCTTGGAACGTATGATTATCTCCTAACGAAGGAGCCAAGAATGACACTGGCATGCTGAAAGGGCACAGAATCACCTGCTCTCCAACAAACTGGGATGTTTTTTCAAAACCAACCCGAACAACGGATGCCGAGTACAAAGTTGGATCTCACTATTTACCGCCGCTCCAGCAGGTTTAAAAGGCTGGCTTTCCCTTCAGAGACGAACGTACTGCTGGGGGCACGCAAACGGGCTGCCCCTGGGCTCCAACACTGCCAGCAGCTCCTGTTGGATAGCAACAGTGTGATGAAGACACCAAGCATGAGGTCTTCCTTGCCGCTTCGTCATCAGGGCAGGTTATAAAGAGAGCACCTTTGAAGCTGGCAGCGGTGTTTGAGCTTCCCTCCCTGCGCTGCTGCTCAGGGACAGCGGGAAGGCAGCACGCTCTCTTCAAGGTGGAAAGCAAGAACGCTCCCAAGGAAAGATTTAAGTCACTGCACTGACAATTAGGGAGAAATAACGTGGCTGCAGCTGGAGAGACTGGCCTGTCTCATTCAGCAGGGAAACCATCTGTGACAGCATCCGTGGCCCTTTTACACACAATTATAGGCTGAGCCTAATTGTGCCTCAACCCCACGTAATCACTTGTGCCAGTAATTAATTGGAATACAAACAGCAGCTGCACTAAACCATGAAGAGCTGCAGGAGAGACATAGATTGCTTACAAGACTTGCATCATAATTATTTGTGAAGCATAACCTCACTATAGGCTTTCTGGCATGGAAGACGGCAGAGGGGTTAGGGCAGAGTCCTACATTGATAGATTGCTTACAAGATTTGCATCATATTTATTTGTGAAGCATAACCTCGCTATAGGCTTTCTGGCATGGAAGAAGGCAGAGGGGTTAGGGCAGAGTCCTACATTTAGCTAATCAGCCATTGTACTTCCATCGGACTTGAGTTCTGAAATACTGTGGAGGAAACCAACCCTGACGGTGCCCAGGCTGGGGGCAAGGCTCCTTCTCTGGAGATATTCCAGCCCCGCCTGGCCG